AAAGGGAGAGTTTCCAAGCTGAGCCAGGCTGGCTGAGGAATTCTGGGAGTTGAAGTCCACGAGTCATAAAAGAGCCAAGGTGGCCTAGCCCTGGCCTAAGCCTAAGGTTTCTTTCTGCTTCTTTCTTCAAAGATGGTGGGGGGGGGATGCTAATCGTTTAATTTGAAGTTTAATTTTAATTTGCAAGTCTTTTTTAATGCTGATACTGTGGACACACTGAGTGTGGCTATCATACTGTGGACATTGACAAGAAGTCCTGGGTGATTTTTCTGCATTTGGAAAATAAATTCTGATTTCTTAAAAATGTGGTAGTTGCCCTCGAGTTACAACCGGTCCCTTGGCAGCCGTTCAGAGTTACGACTGACCGTCCCCCAAAAGTACTGATGACCCAGATTCAATGGCTGCCCCTCCCCCCTTGAAGTGCTCCGGACTGGCCTTCGTCTCTGGCTGTTTGCGTAACCAGCATTTACTTCTGGTTTCTGGGGAAAAACACCCCTGGCAGACAGTCTGTTTGGTCCATAATCATGGAAAAAGAGGTCATAAAAGATCACTCACAGGTCATAAAAGATCACTCACAGGATGACCTGCTTAATGGCCAGCATGGTTCATGACCCTGGTTCCTGGCTCAGTTACGGTTGCGAGTCGAGAACTACTCTATTATTATAACTGTATTACAGTCATACAGTTTTATGTAGTAGTCCTCAGCTTACATGACAATTAAGATAAGATAACCTTTATTGTCATTTTTATACTGTGGGCATGATGGCACACATCAAAAGTGAAATTTAGTTGCCCACTCTCAAAAAACATACATGACACACACCTAAACATACTATGAACAACATATGTATAGACCCACACTCCTACATATACATAGCAAATAAATATTAAATACTGTCCATCTTGAATATATAATGGAAGGAGGAAGCTTGAGAGTTCACATGGTTAATGCTGTATGGAATGAAACTATGGCTGAATCTGGATGTTCTGCTTCGGATACCATGAGCTTTTAGTCCTCAACTTACAACCACAGCCGGGCCCCAAATTTCTGTTAATAAAAGGGTTGTTAAATGAGTTTTGCTTCATTTTACGACCATGTCTCAGTTAAGGGAATCCCTGCCATCGTTAAGTTAATAGCAGGGCAGTTAAGTTGTCAAGTCAAGGACCGCCTGTGTGGGATGTGTGTGTGTGAGAACCCTGTGGACATAAAGCGGGACGGCAGTTTCTTGCTCTCTTGTAATCCCAAGACTGCAAACCCACCGACTGGATTGCACCTGGCGCGGTGCCATCACGGGGTCATCGGCCAGGCCCCCCCTTTTTCCACAGAGGACCTCTCTCCCACAGGGTCCCCTCTGCCCGAGAGGGAGGCCAGTCACAACCAGTTCCCACCAGTTTCTGAACTGGACAATGGCTGGGAGCCTCTGCGGTCAGCGTGGCAATAAAACCCTTGCAACCTTCCAAAGCACAGGTGGTAGTCCTCTGGTTATGACCCCCATGGAACCCAAGCTTTATGTTGCTAAGTGAAACATTCGTTTAGTGAGTTTTGCCCCATTTTACGACTTTTCTTGTTAACTGAATCAGTGCAGTTGTTAAGCTAGTGACAACGATTGTTAAGCGAACCCGTCTTCCCCCCTTGACTTTGCTTGTCACCAAAGGGGAACCACGTGACTCCCCCAGGACGCTGCAACCGTCGTAAATAAGAGTCAGCTGCCAAGCATCACGTGACCATGGGGAAGCTGCAACGGTCGTAAGTGTGAAAAACGGTCAATATAAGTATAAAGACCCTTGTAGAAGATGTTCAAGCCTCCAGAAGCCCCATTGCAATGGGTTTCAAACATGGCACCTTTAAGAGGGCTGGACCGCAACTCCCAGAATTCCCCAGTCAGCCTCGTTCCATTGTGTAGACCAGGGGAAGGCAACCTTGGCTCTTTTATGACTCGTGGACTTCAACTCCCAGAATTCCTGAGCAACTTTGCCATGACCACCAGCTGCCTCCTCAGCAGGTCTTAGGAGCCCCATTACGGCCGGTGCTGTGTGAATCCAAGACAGGCTTGAGTTCACTCCAGGAACTCCTCCACGCCGAAGGCCACCGGTCTGGGCCAGGAGTGGGTGAGTGGCCCTTCCCTTCCGGCCAGACCCGTCTCCTAGCAACTCAGAAGGAGAACCCGCTGATGTCGGCATCTGAGTGCTGTGGCACCACTTGAACAATGGAGAACAGAGGCCAGGAGCCGTAGGTGGGGATGGAGACTCAGCCAGGGCTGCTTCTGCCAATCGTGGTCTTGCTGCAGTTGTGGGGGACACAGGGCTACAATCCAGAGAGTGAGTAAGGTCTGGAGGAGGAGGAGGAGGAGGAGAAGGAAGAGGAGGAGAAGGAGGAGGAAGAGTGTGGGGTCCCTGGTGCTCTCTGAGCTGGGTTGTTTTCTTGCAGACGTTTCATGACCCAAACTAAGTAACATCTTCAGTGCTAGAAGGGAACGGGTTGCATAGAGGAGGAGGAGGAGGAGGAGGAGGAGGAGGAGGAGGAGGAGGAGGAGGAGGAGGAGGAGGAGGAGAATAGAATATCTTTATTGTTATTGTGTAACTCACAACGAATTTAAGTGCTGTCCAGAGTGCCCCACATAGGGTGTCCCTGTTGAGGCCCACACATTGTTGACTGCCCAGTAGGGGCCTGTTTTAAGCCCACCTGGGACTCCTCAATATCCTTGGGACCAGGGCATTTCCCAGTTGTGGGAAGTGGGGGGAGCCAAAGAGGACCCATCCAAGGCTGATCATCCGATCCAACCATCCTCTAGTCTAAAACCCTAAAAGGACCAAACACAACAATTTTGTTCCCAGATTGTCTTAGTGCCCAGAGCAGTCACATGGCTACTTGATCATTGCAAGGTACCCTTAAATACAGCTCAGGCTCATTATTTTACGAAGTTTGGTTGTTACCCAAGACTTTTAATTCCAGATGTGGAGCTCAGGTTTGCTATTTCTAGCAGCCACACCTTCTGTGGGCAGTGAATCACCTACCCGAGGCCTTCGTGGTTGCATAAAAAACCACAACATGCCTCTCCTTTACAAATACCTGGAGCAGCGTTGGGGGTGATGCAAAGAACGGCCCCATCGATATATCCTTCCTCACAAATCCTTGAGGAATTATATCGTACTAAATCAGTGGTTCTCAACCTTTCTAATGCCGTGACCCCATAATACAGTTCCCCATGTTGTGGTGACCCCCAAGTGGGTGTGGCCACCAATAAGAGGGAGTAGGACAGCTAGGGAAAAGGGAAAAAAATGGCGGACAGCGTGGTTTGGCGACCCCCGTGAAATGGTCATTCGACCCCAAATGGGGTCCCGACCCACAGGTTGAGAACCACTGTACTAAATCATAATAAAGAAATAATCTACCCAGAATGGTTGGACACACCTGAAGATCTGGGCCATAAACACCAAAGAAGGTCAGAATGCTACTAAGAGCCTGTTAGTAGCCCAACAACTGCATCTGCCTATGATTCCCAGCCGCCCTAGCCAGCTTGGCCAATGAAAGGAATGCTGGGAACGATAGTCCGACAGTAACTGGGGTACCAGATGACTCTAAACGTACAGAGCACCAAGCAGAGGTGAAACTGAGTGACCTGTGAGACCCATTCCCATTAAAGGACCCCTGTCAGAAATCTCTACCAGTGTTTCTCAACCTTGACAATTTTAAGGCATGTGGACTTCAACTCCCAGAATTCCACAGCCAGCATTGCTGGCTGTGGAATTCTGGGGGTGGAAGTCCACATGCCTTAAAATTGTCAAGGTTGAGAAACACTGCTCTAGACCATGTCAAAGCTGCTTTGGCCACTGCCCCTCCTACTTCACAGCCAATCAAATGTCCCCACAAGAGTCAACCAAGAAGGACATCAGCATAGGCATCTCCTGCTTATGCTGTGCAAGACTATTGCCTCTGATCCCAGAGGTCATCCAGAGCCTCAGTTGACTTAGTGCTCCAAAAGTCCCTCTAACCCGCTTTCAAAGTTCCAGCTGACCGGTTAACCAGATATATACATAGATGTGCACACACAGACACACACACAAACACACACACGTCATGTGACATTTTCTTCTTGAGATGATAACTGCAGGCATTGACAATCTTGCAAAGCAGAAGGTGCTGAAATAGCCATTCCCCCCCCCTCCCAAAAATCAAGATCTACAAGATCTACAGGACCAGGTCACCGTCCTGGGTGGAAACATGTTTCCCGCAAGGATCCGGTCAGGATGGCAAGCAAACAGATCCAGAAGTAGGGTGTGGTGTGATTGATGTCAGGCCAGGGAGAGCGAGAGTGGTGCAGTCTTTCCATATTTGAGGAGCTGCCACGGGAATCCATCTTCAAAGCAGCTGAGGGCAGGTCAGGAAGCAACAGAGGGAAACTAACCAAGGAGAGACCCAATCCAGAAGTAAAGAGAAACTTCCTAACAGGGAGAACAATCAACCAGTGGAACGGCTGGCCTTCAGAAATTGTGGGTGCTCCATCATTGGAGGTTTTGAAGAAGAGACTGGACAGCCATTTGTCCAGAATGGTATAGGGCAGGGGTAGGCAACCTTGGCTCTTTTACGACTCGTGGACTTCAACTCCCAGAATTCCTGAGCCAGCATGGCTCAGCTTGGAAACCTCTCCCTTTCCCCTCAGCATGGCTGGCTCAGGAATTCTGGGAATTGAAGTCCACCAGTCATAAAAGAGCCAAGGTTGCCTACCCCTGGTCTAAGGGCTATTCTAAGTGTTATTTATATAGCCTAGACCAGAGGTAGGCCATTTTGGCTCTTTTATGACTGGTGGACTTCAACTCCCAGAATTCCTGAGCCAGCATGGCTCAGCTTGGAAACCTCTCCCTTTCCCCTCAGCATGGCTGGCTCAGGAATTCTGGGAGTTGAAGTCCATGAGTCGTAAAAGAGCCAAGGTTTGCCTACCTATGGACTAGGCCTACTGTTTCTGATAATCTACTCCTGTCACGCTTAATAGACTAGGCCAGGGGTAGGCAACCTTGGCTCTTTTATGACTGGTGGATGTCAACTCCCAGAATTCCTGAGCCAGCATGAGGGAAATTTTGGCCTCTTCATGACTGGTGGACTTCAACTCCCAGAATTCCTGAGCCAGCATGGCTCAGCTTGGAAACCTCTCCCTTTCCCCTCAGCATGGCTGGCTCAGGAATTCTGGGAGTTGAAGTCCACGAGTCATAAAAGAGCCAAGGTTTGCCTACCCCTGGTACAGGGTCTCCTGCTCTAGCTGAGAGTTGAAGATCTTCAAGGAATCTTCCAACTATATTCTGTAACTGGAAGGAATGCCAGTTTCTGCACCCATGTACCCTTTCCCATACTATTGGGCAGGTGAATCCCCTGATGGTTTGGTGGCTTCTACAAAGATCTGCTCTGGCAGTTCCACACAGCTAGGGTGGGATTGTCTTAGCCCCAGTCTGACCCATTTCACTGTTTCCCCTTCAGCCTGCGGGAAACGGCCCTTGGCGCCCAAGCATGGCCGAAATGTGCGGATTGTGGGTGGCATCGATGCCATGCCGGGCACATGGCCGTGGCTTGTCAGCATCCAGATCCCCTCTTCCAACGGACCTCGGCACTCGTGTGGGGGGTCCCTCCTGACCGAGCATTGGGTCCTCACCGCGGCTCATTGCTTCAAGACCAAGAAGAGGTGTGTACAAAATCGGCATCTGACCGGATCTCTGTAGCGAAGAGGCTGGTGAGGCTGACCCTGGGCAAACACCCAGAGTCGCTCACTGGGGAGATGGGTGGCCTACAGTATACATTTAATAAATAATATTAACCTGTGGATGTGTCAGCCCTGGGTTTGGAATATGCAATCTTTCTCAGCATGTTCACGACTTGCAGTAGTCAGCCTTCGGCAGGGTGTCTTCAGAGGCTGGGCTAAAAGGAATATAAAGCTGACCTTGGGGTAGGAAGAAGCCATTCAGGGTGGACTTTCCCAAAAAACAAAAACAAAAAAAGATCACATGGTCCAGAGTTTGAATGAAATGTGGGAAAGAAACTGAAGGTAACCCACAGGCTTTCTAGATTCTGTTACTTTGCCCTAAATCAGGGGTAGGCAACCTTGGCTCTTTTATGGCTCGTGGACTTCAACTCCCAGAATTCCTCTGGAATGTGCTGGGTCCACCCTGGGAAACTGTGGCGTTTATTTATTTATTTATGAGACTTATATACCGCTTTAAGTGCAAGCACTCTCTAAGCGGTGTACACCAGTAAGCAATGTATATATATATTTACATTGCCCCCAACAATCTGGGTCCTCATTTTACCTACCCCGGAAGGAGGGAAGGCTGAGTCAACCTTGAGCCGGTGAGATTTGAACCACCGACCTGCTGAACACAGTCAGCTAAAGTGGCCTGCAGTACTGCACTCCAACTGCTGCGCCACCTCGGCTCTTATCCCAAGATTCCCCCCACTCCCTTTCCAGGTCCACCTTCCATCACATGCAGATGGTCCACCCGGCCAGGCCATACTAACCTGGCCACAAGGAATTATTATTAGCAATGATTGTTACCTAACTTTAGGAACCACCCTTCTTGACAATCTGGAATTTGGGGAGAGCTTTCTCTCACGGGCTCCTCCTAACCATGCTCTGTTTTTCTGCAGCTCGTTGCATCTTTGGCGGATCGTGGTGGGCGCCACCGATCTTTCTGAGTTGCCAGACGATGTGCAGATACACACTGTGAGCAAAGTCGTGCTCCATCAAGACTATAATCCTCTCACGGAGGAAAATGACATTGCGCTGATAGAGCTGGACAGCCCGGTGGCCTTCAACGACTACGTGCAGCCAGCCTGCTTGCCTCGGGTCACGATGGACTCTAAGACCAACTTCACAAGTTGCTTTGCCACGGGCTGGGGAATCACCGCTGAAAACAGTAAGAAGATGGACATGGGCCAACGAGGAGAGCTTTGAAAATCCTGCAGGGCAGATATTGCTGAATTCCTAAATAGCGTTTCTTTTCTGCTGAAGCATGCAACATTTATTTACCCCACTCTCTTCAGATTTGACAGGACGAGGGTTAACCAAAGTTTATCTTTCATTGCAGGCAGGTTATGCTCCCTGCATGTGTGTGCATGTGGGAGGGAGGGAGGGAGTGTGTTTCTTCTAGTTAGCTCCTGCAATCTTGAGAAGATCTAGAGATGTTATGAAGTTTTAGCTCATACCGTGAGCTGCCCTCTTCTACTCCAATTAAGGGTACAGTGGAGCTAGAAGGGACCTTGGAGGTCTTCTAGTCCAACCCAAGCAGGAGACCCTATACCATTTCAGACAAGCAGCTGTCCAGTCTCTTCTTAAAAGCCTCCAATGATGAAGCACCCACAACTTCTATTCCACTGGTTAATTGTCCTCACCATTAGGAAGTTTCTCCTTAACTCTAGGTTGCTTCTCTCCTTGATGAGTTTCCATCCATTCTTTCTTGTCTTGCCTTCTGGTGCTTTGGAGAATAAGTTGATCCCTCTTCTTTGTGGCAGTGCCTCAAATACTGGAATATTCCTATATCCCCCCCCCCAGTCTTTCTTTTCATTAAACTCGACATACTCAAATCCTTCAGCTGTTCTTCGTATGTTTCTGTCTCCGGGCCTTTAATCATCTTAGTGGCTTTTCTCTGTACTTTTTCCCAAAGACTCAGCATCTTTTTTGCAATATGGTGACCAAAACCTGGATGCAGGATTCCAGGGGTGGCCTTACTAAAGTTTTATAAAGCATTATTGTTCTTTAGACACTTGTGGAAGTCTTGTGATTAGTTCTTAAATAATATGGGGCAGGGGGTGTTGGGAAAGGAGGAACGGCGGACATCCATGACATGGCAGAAGCGAAATTAATCTATTTCCTTTACTTGGAGGTGTGAAGACCTCTGATGTTTTGCAGGAAGCCAAACTGAATATCTTGGACACCCAGAAATGCAACAGCAGTGATTGGTATAACGGGGCAATGAGTCCTAACACCTTGTGCGCTGGTTATGAGGAAGGAGGGCTCGACACCTGCCAGGTAAGGACCCTCTACGCTTACTCTGCTAGCCTCGGTGTTGTGGTCAGCCCCAGTTTGCTTTCCTTCTTATTTTATGATGAAATGACCCCTTTCCCCACAGTCCTTGAAATGCAGGCCTGCATCTCGTTATCTGCTTCTGCTTCGTTAATCAAGGTGTCCCTGTTGCAATCAGTTTAAAGGGCAGCCTGAACGCCAACCTCTGTCGGCGTTTCCTGCTGACACAGGAAAACAGGATTCAAGCAGAAAAATCGATGCCTTAAATGAGGAAATCTATTTTTAAAGGATTGTAACTTTTTAATTAACTGCACCTTACTCCATTTCCTTTGTCTCTCTAACAAGTCCAGATTCATAAAAAGGTGACTCAGCTGAGCCATTCCCTGTGTGTCCGATCACACTTGGCCAATAAAGAATTCTATTCTATTCTATTCTATTCTATTCTATTCTATTCTATTCTATTCTATTCTATTCTATTCTATTCCATTCCATTCCATTCCTATTCTATTCTATTCTATTCTTCATTCTTCTATTCTATTCTATTCTATTCTATTCTATTCTATTCTATTACATTCCATTCCTATTCCATCCATTTTCCTATTCTATCTATTCTATTCTATTCTATTCTATTCTATTCTATTCTATTCTATTCTATTCTATTCTATTCTATTCTATTCTATTCTATTCTATTCTATTCATATTTTCTATTCTATTCTATTCTATTCTATTCTATTCTATTCTATTCTATTCTATTCTATTCTATTCTATTCTATTCTATTCTATTCCATTCCATTCCATTCCATTCCATTCCATTCCTTTCTATTCTTCTATTCCCTATTCTATTCTATTCTATATTATCGAAACTGTCTTAGGAAAAGGGGATGATTATTTTGAGAGAGGAGAAAGACAGGAAGAAGGACATTTGTCTGAAATGGTATAGGGTCTCCTACTCAAGCAGGGGGTTGGACTAGAAGACCTCCAAGGTCCCTTCCAGCTCTATGACAATTCTATGACTTTGCCAGTCACATTTCTCCCCCATTGCCCATCACTGCTTACTTCTCCTGAAAAACTGCACGGGGTGTTTCAAGCCTCAGGCCCTCCAGACTTCCTCCTCCAGAGTCCTCTGTGCTTCCCCACTCAGCTCTCCAGTGAGTTCCAGGTAGAAGTGGTTTGTGCGTATAGGTGTGAGAAAATAGTCTGGTAGCCTTCAACAGGCAGAGACACGTCCTGAGTCCTGATCACACGATTCTGCCAAGCTATGCCTGGTGGTTATGGAAAACAACAGCCATCCGCTTTAATAGGAATCCAAACGGTAGAGAGTTGAAGCAATTTAAAAAAAAAAATGTTATGAAAACGCCCTGATATGAGATCACTGGGCTGCTAGCCTAGGTGGCTGAGAGCCCTGACAAAAGACAGGCAAAGGATAGCACCAGGGTGTGAAAAATAATGGATAATTAATTACTAGGTTAGTGTAGGTCAGGGGTAGGCAACCTTGGCTCTTTTATGACTCGTGGACTTCAACTTCCAGAATTCCTGAGCCAGCCAAGTCCATGAGTCATAAAAGAGCCAAGGTTGCCTCCCCTGGTGTAGGTGAAGGTACTGGGTGAAGGTCCTGAGTCCCAGGTGGGCTTAAAACAGGCCCCTACTGGGCAGTCAACAATGTGTGGGCCTCAACAGGGACACCCTATGTGGGGCACTGTGGACAGCACTTAAATTCGTTGTGAGTTACACAATAACAATAAAGATATTTTATTCTATTCTCTTCCTCCTCCTCCTCCTCCTCCTGCCCGTCTTGTGATGGAATGAGCCCCTGGGGAAGGAGAATGGGGGGGGTCTTGAAAGGAGCACCATGGTTTCCCAGAGAGGAGGCAGCCCTTTCCAGACAGGTTCCCAAGACAAGAGACTGCACAGTCCTACGCTGGAGGAAGAGGCTTAGATGGCCACGCTCCAGAGTCTCCCATTTCTAGTATTTTAGAACTCGATAGCTCTAGTCTGGCAAGGTTCTGCCCATCAGGCTCAATCAAATAAAGCCTTGGATTTCATGATGTTGTCTTTGGGCTTGGCCTGAGACCACCTCACAGGTTTGCTGTGGGTGGGAAACACAAGAGTCAGGGAGATTAAGTCTGCTGACCACCTTGGAGTTGTACCTTAAAAGGCTGAGATAAAATCACAGCCACGAGAACATCCCCTATTCAGGAAATGCCCCCAGCAATATCAGCAATAAGGTGGTCAGCCAGAAACGGTCTTGGTCCCGCGGTCAATCCTGGTTTGCATTCCTCCAGATTTGATGATGAGGTGACCCTTTCCCCACAGTCCTTGAAATGCAAGCTTGCATCTTGTTAGCCGTTTCTGCTTTGTTCATCAATGTTTCTGCATAACAGTCCGTTTAAAGGGCAGTCTGAATCTCAGCCTCTTCTCGAGTTCCGTGCAATTTCCCGCTGACGCTGGAACCGCGATTCAAACAGAAAAATCGATGATTCAATCAGGAAAATTCACTTTTTAAATAATTATTAATTTTTATTAGACTTGACACGAAGGAAGCTGTTGTTAAAGCAGAAACTTGATGTACTCTAGGTGTTTACATGGATCTGAATCGGGTAACTGGTGACACGTGCACAAGCCCCTATGAGTGAATGGAAAAGTTCTAGTACTCAAAGACAAAATGGTTAACTAGGTACATAGCGGTTACCCAGTAAATAATATGACAGCAGCGTTCGAGTATCTGAGGGGCTGCCACAAAGAAGAGGGGGGGTCAACCTATTTTCCAAAGCACCTGAAGGCAGGACAAGAAGCAATGAAGCAGGAGAGAAGCAACCTAGAACTAAGGAGAAACTTCCTGACAGTGAGAATAATTAACCAGTGGAACCACCTGCCTCCAGAAGCAGTGAATGCTCCAACACTGGAGGTTTTTAAGAAGAGACTGGATAGACATTTGTCTGAAGTGGTATAGGGTTTCCTGCCTGAACAGGGGGTTGGACTAGATGACCTCCAAACTCCCTTCCAGCTCTATTCTGATTGATTGAGAATCATATATATGATGGATTCATTCAAACCCAGTTATGGATATTTAGGCAGCGTCCATGATGATGTTATCCATCCTGGCAATGCTCTGGGCCAGGTCTCCCCAGGGTTCCCGATCTTGCTCTGCTTCTTTCAGTCGTTCTGTGCTCTGGCTGGTGTCACCTTTGAGGGTGTCCAGCCACGCCATGTCGTCTGGGGGGGGGGCTGGTTTCCTTTTTCCGCTAACTCTTCCAAACAGATTTGCTTTCTCCAGCGAATTCCCCGCATGGTGTGGCCAAAATAAGTCACATGCAGTTTTGTGATTTGGGCCTCCGGTGACATGCTGGCATTACCTGCTCCAGTACTTGCTTCTTCATCACCCTTGATTATAGATGAAGTGGTAGAAGAACTTGACTTCCCTGGCCAGGGGCAAGAGATGCTAAAACAAGCATCCTTAAGCGGAGCAGAAGTACTGATGGGTGATTGGAAAGTGACAGTTGCAGAAATGGAGGAATCAGGCATCATCAGCAGCAGAAGAATACAGTTAGTCAGCCAGGACACTTCCTGGTGCATGGCTGTCAGGTTTTCCCCAACCCTCGACTCCATTTGATTTAAGTGCTAGATTCTTTTACTAAGGATTAGTGGTTGCAGTGAAAGTAAAGCTAGATCTGAATATTCCTACGCAAAGAATAGAATAGAATAGAATAGAATAGAATAGAATAGAGTAGAATAGAGTAGAATAGAACAGAATAGAATAATGGAATGTAGAAGAATAGAATAGAATAGAATAGAATAGAATAGAATAGAATAGAATAGAATAGAATAGAATAGAATGGAATGAAGTAGAAGAATATAATAAAATAGAATAGAATAGAATAGAATAGAATAGAATAGAATAGAATAGAACAGAACAGAACAGAACAGAATAGAATAATGGAATGAAGTAGAAGAATAGAATAGAATAGAATAGAATAGAATAGAATAGAATAGAATAGAATAGAATAGAATAATGGAATGAAGTAGAAGAACAGAACAGAACAGAATAGAATACAATAGAATAGAATAGAATAATGGAATGTAGAAGAATAGAATAGAATAGAATAGAATAGAATGAAGTAGAAGAATAGAATAGAATAGAATAGAATAGAATAGAATAGAACAGAATAGAATAGAATAATGGAATGAAGTGGAAGAACAGAACAGAACAGAATAGAATAGAATAGAATAGAATAGAATAATGGAATGTAGAAGAATAGAATAGAATAGAATATAAGGAACAGTTGCGAGAATTGGGTATGTCTAGTTTAACAAAGAGAAGGATAAGGGGGGACATGATAGCAGTGTTCCAATATCTCAGGGGCTGCCATAAAGAAGAGGGAATTAAGCTATTCTCCAAAGCACCTGAAGGCAGGACAAGAAGCAAGGGATGGAAACTAATCAAGGAGAGAAGCAACCTAGAACTAAGGAGAAACTTCCTGACAGTTAGAACAATTAATCAGTGGAACAGCTTGCCTCCAGAAGCAGTAAATGCTCCAACACTGGAAGTTTTTAAGAAGAGACTGGACAGCCATTTGTCCGAAATGGTGTAGGATTTCCTGCCCAAGCAGGGGGTTGGACTAGATGACCTCCAAGGTCCCTTCCAACTTTACCATTATTATTATTATTAGAATAGAATAGAATAGAATAGAATGAAGTAGAAGAATAGAATAGAATAGAATAGAATAGAATAGAATAGAATAGAATAATGGAACGAAGTAGAATAGAATGGAATGGAATAGAATAGAATAGAAAATATGGAATGGAATGGAATGGAATAGAATAGAATAGAATAGAATAGAATAGAATAGAATAGAATAATGGAATGTAGAAGAATAGAATAGAATAGAATAGAATAGAATAGAATAATGGAATGAAGTAGAAGAACAGAACAGAACAGAACAGAATAGAATAGAATAGAATAGGAATAGAGCTGGAAGGGACCTTGGAGGTCTTCTAGTCCAGCCCCCTGCTCAAGCAGGAGGACCTACACCATCTGAGACAGGTGAGTCCAGTCTCTTTTTAAAAACTTCCAGCGATGGAGCACCCACGATTTCTGAAGACAAAGCCGTTCCACTGGTTAATTGTTCTAATTGTCAGGAAGTTTCTCCTTAATTCCAGGTTGCTTCTCTCCTTCGTCAGTTTCCCGCCATTGTTTCTCGTCCTGCCCTCTGGGGCTTTGGAGGATATTGTGACCCCCTCTGCCTTGTGGCAGCCCTTGGGATACTGGAATAACTGCCATCATGTCTCCCTGTTTCTTCTTTTCTTTAGACTGGCCAAGAGTTACACATTTTCCCTTCTCCCACCCCCCCCCCGACTGGTCCTTCATCATCCAGTGGGGTACCGTCAAGGTGTTTTGGGAACTGCTCACCTATTTGGTGTTCAAGGGGTGCTCCAAAGGCTTTGTGATTGCACCCAAGGCGCCTGTGACTATTGGTACAGGTAGTCCTTGACTTACAGCGGTTCATTTAGTGACTGTTCGAAGTTACAACGGCACTGAAAAATGTGACTTATGACCATTTTCCACACTTATGACCACCGCAGGATCCCCAGCGTCACGTGATTTACATTTGGATGCTTGACAGCTGGTTCATAGTTATGATGGCCACAGTGTCCCAGGGTCACGTGACCATCTTTTACGACTTTCCAACAAGCAGAGTCATCGTTGCAAGGCAGATTCACTTAACAACCCCGTTACAAACTTAACAACTACAGTGAGTCACTTAAGAACTGTGTCAAGAAATTGTAAAATGGTACAAAGTTCACTTGACAAATTTCTCATTTAGCAACTTGAATTCTGGGCTCAGGCGTGGTCATGCAGGGAGGACGTCTGCCGCCCCAGTGTTCCCCGTTTGCTCAAGTGACGCTTCCCCCTTTGCTCTCTCTCTCTGCAGGGGGACAGCGGGGGCCCATTGATGTGCAGGACTTCCCCCGCCTCTCTGTTCTACATTTTGGGGGTCACCAGCTGGGGCAAGGGCTGCGGGGAGGCGAACAGCCCGGGAATCTACACGTCTGTTCGGCACTTCCTGGAGTGGATCCTGGGAGAAATGATTGAAATCGACGAAGGGACCACCTCAGAAGAGGACCATCCCCCAAAGCACAGGCCAAAGAGCTCTGTGACCCTCCTCCCCACCAGAACGGTGGCTTCACCCCCCGTAGAAGACCTGGAAGAAAACTCCATGGACAGCTCTGCAGAACCCTTCATCGCGTCCAACGAGGGCGAGGAGGATGACCGAGAGGAGGCCACTCTGAGGGCCCCGTTGAGAGAAACAGAGGCCACGATTGCCCTGCAAGACCCCTTCGTTCCCTCAGGGTTTTTACCTCCGTCTCTAGAACCTCCGTACATCCCTCTGGAGCAGCTGGTCACCTTGGAGCCCCCCTTCTACCCCAAAGAATTACCTCCGACAGCCTTGCCCCTCCCGTACATCCCTCGAGAAATCCCCCCGACGCCTCTGAAGTCTCCGTTCATTCCTCCGGAAGTCAAGATCAGCGTGGAGCCTCCCTACATTCCCGAACAGGAGCCATATCTCACTCCAGAGCCCCCTGTTCTCCCCACGCAGCCCAAGTATGTCTCCTCCCTGTCAGCTGATAAGTCAAGGTCCCATCTCTTTTTATTTGGGGGGTCCTCTTCTGGAAGAGCTCTAGAACCCCCACGTATTCCCTCAAAGATATCCCGCTCTATTGAGGACCCCTACACTCCTCTAGACCCCCCTTACACTCCTCCAGAGCCCCCCCAAGCTCCCCCAGAGCCCCCCCACACTCCTCTAGATTCCCCACGGGCTCCTCCGGACCCCCCCTACACTCCTCCACACCTTCGGTTTATCCCCCCAGTGGCAACCGTCCCTCTGGAGAGGCCCTACATTCCTCCCGAGACACGTCACCGCATCGAGCGCCCTTATACACCTTCGGGAGACCTATACATCCCCCCAGAGTCCCCCTTTGTTCCTCCAGAGAGCCCCAGATTATTGCAGCACCCCTACACCCCCCAGCAGCCCCCCATCACTCCTCTACAGCCCCCCTTCATTCCCAGAGAGGAAACTGCTCTCCTGGAGCAACCTTATCTTCCCCCAGCAAGACCTCCCCACCTGAGGCCTCCTCGTGTTCCTCCGGAGCCCCCCCTGGCTCCCACATGGCTTCCACACAACTCTGGGGAAAGAGAAGCATCTCTGGAGCACTTGGACGTTCCTCCAGAGAAGGTCCGCCTTCTGGAGCCCTTCTACGCCCACCAAAGGAAAACTCGCTCCCTGGAGTCCTCAGAGTCGCCCGAGAGGGATGTCCCTCCGCAGCTCTCAGCTGGTCCTCCAGCTGACCCACCAACGCAGGATGTGCCTGTGGACCTGAAGGCCCCATCTCTCACCCCAGGGACTCTTGAGCACCAGCAGCGGCTAGAAGCTCCTCCAGACAAACTCTGAACTCCTCACATCCTCTCCAGATGTGATGAGTGAGCAGCGGGTGGAGCACGCCGACCCTCTGCTGGAAACCTTGGATCCAGAGGTCCTATGACGGGACTCAAACAATCCATGGGTTGTTTGAGAAAGAAGCCGCCAACCCTGGTGTAGCCTGTTAGGGCCCCTTTGCGTAACCCAATCGCAGGGCCAGTGAACGAAAAGGCATCGCTGCTTCTCTTTGGGCAAGCTGCCTTTCTTTCTCGTAATGGACTTTTATTCTATTTTTTTTAAAGAGTGCTATTTAAGCTGCCCTGGGAAACCTTTTAAACAGGAAGGTATATAAACCAACAGATCTAATCTTGAAGGACGTCTTGCTTTTCTTGAGTCTGGCAGTTGTGGGAAATGCCGTGAGTTGCAAACACTCGGCCCATCTGGGACGGTCAGCTATTTCCCAGGTCTTCTGGCGGTTTGCATTTCAAGAGAGGGTTGGTCTTTGAGATCAAGTGGATCCCTGCTGGAGCCCATCATCGAGCAATGGGCCATACCAATTTCCCAGAGAAACACCCCCCCCCCCGTGTAAGCTGGCAGGAAGAGCCACCGTATTATAGAACAGGGGTCTTCAAACGTGGCTCTTTGATGACTTGTGGACTTCAGCTCCCAGAATGCCTCAGCCAGGCGTGCTACGCTGGCTGAGGAATTCTGGGAGTTGAAGTCCACAAGTCTTCAAGTTGCCAGGTTTGGACAGCCCTGCCTTACACCAGGGGTCTTCAAACTTGGCCCTTCTATGACTTGTGGACTTCAGCTCCCAGAATTCCTCAGCTAGGCACGCTGAAGTCCACAAGTCATAAAAGGGCCAGGTTTGAAGACCCCTGTTGCAGAAGATAAACTTAGCATCCTAACGGGTTTGCAAGGCAACTCCTTCTCCAAGCCTCCGAATGCAGGTAGTCCTCATTTAGCAACCACTATAGAAACCAGCTATTTGGACATTAAGCGAAACCACACCTGTGCCTACAATCTGACTTCAGCTTTGCTTTGGTTTACACGCAGTGTTTCCCAAACTTGACAATTTTAAGGCATGTGGACTTCAACTCCCAGAATTCCACAGCCAGCGTTGCTGGCTGTGGAATTCTGGGAGTTGAAGTCCTCATGCCTTAAAATTGTCAAGTCTGGGAAACACTGGTTTACAGACTGTAAGGTTGGTCGGTTGGCAAATGAGGTAGTTGCTAAACAAGGACTCCCTGTGTAACATTTAATTCTTAAGAGGGGGTGCAAAGAAGGAAGCCCTGGGTCTGCAGGCAGTAGGGACGCCCCCTTCGGCAACCCCCCCAGCCCACTCAGAAAGGGGGGCACAGACATGTTTGAGGAGAGGTGAGTTTGAAGAGGGGTGAGCAAAATAGGTGAGTTTATCTTACTAGATGTGTCCAGTCTAAGAAAGAGAAGGACTAGGGATGACATGCCATCAATCTTCCAATATCTGAGGGGCTGCCACAAAGACGTGTGTGTGTGTGTGTGTGTGTGTGTGTGTGTGTGTGTGTGTGTGTGTGTGTACCTATTCTCCAAAGCACCTGAAGGCAGGATAAGAAGCAACAGATGGAAACTAATCAAGGAGAGAAGCAACTTAGAATTAAGGAGGAATTTCCTGACAGAACAATTAACCCGTGGAACCACCTGCCTCCAGAAGTTGTGAATGCTCCAACACTGGAAGTTTTCAAGAGGAGATTGGACAACCATTTGTCTAGAGAAGATAGCATGTATCTCTTGCTTGAGCAGGGGGTTGGACTAGATGACCTCCACGGCCCTATGATTCTATGCCGGGACTTCAGATATTCTCTTTCATGGTAAACAATGCTAAGTTGACAAAGGGTGAGAAGCAGGAAGGCGAAGGAATGATGTTGGATAATTGGCTGAATGTATTGGATGAAAGCAATGTAACTCAGTATGCCTGTTTGTGCTTTTCTGCCTTGCAAACCATCCTGGCCTCCACCACAACCACGGAGTGTGTCCTTACACGGCTTTGTGTTTTCGAAGATTCTCGGCATTCCCTCTCTGAGGATCTCTGCACTTCCTCCCGCCACAGCTTTGTCCGTCTGTCCCTTCCACCGACCCCCTTGCTTCCCCCGTTGCTCTGGGGGTCGGTTGGCGCCTCTTTCACTCCCTCCAGGGGGCTCAAACACTTCGGAATAACCCTTCTGCGCCACCAAAGGTTTCCCTGTCCCTCCTGTCTCGGGGGGGCCCCAGTGGGGCCCTCCTTCAGCTGGAGGTGCGCTCTGCTTTTCCAAGGGTGACAGTCGACACAGAGAAAGGCTAAAGTCCTAGAAGGGCTCTGCAAAATAGCACTGATGATGTTACCTAGTTGGGTGATGAAATATCTGCAAGAAAAGAAGCTCAAAGAGCACCAAGGACCCCACAGTTATCCTCCACCACCTCCTCCTCCTCCTCTGTGTCCTCCTCTCCTCTCCTCTTTCTCCTCTTTCTCCTCCTTTTTTCCTACTCTTTCTCCTCTCCTTCTCTTTCTCCTTCTCTTCTTCTTCCTCCTCCTTTCTTTTTCCTCCTCCTTTTTTCCTCCTCTTTGTCCTCCTCCTCCTTCTTTCTTCCTCCTCCTCCTCTTTTTTCCTCCTCCTCCTTTCTTCTTCTTCTCCTCTTTTCCTCTTTTTTCCTCCTCCTCCTTCTTCCTCCTCTTTTTTCCTCCTCCTCCTCCTCCTCTCTTCTTCTTCTTCTTCTTCTTCTTCTTCTTCTTCTTCTTCTTCTTCTTCTTCTTCTTCTTCTTCTTCTTCTTCTTCTTCTTCTTCTTCTTCTTCTTCTTCTTCTTCTTCTTATTCTTCTTCTTCTTCTTCTTCTTCTTCTTCTCTTCTTATTCTTCTTCTTCTTCTTCTTCTTCTTCTTCTTCTTCTTCTTCTTCTTCTTCTTCTTCTTCTTCTTCTTCTTCTTCTTCTTCTTCTTCTTCTTCTTCTTCTTCTTCTTCTTCTTCTTCTTCCTCCTCCTCCCTGCAAGCCCCTCTCTCTTCTAGCCCCGAGGATGTTCCCTAGTTGGGTCAGGGAATGTCTGCAAGAAAACCACCCAGCTCGGAGAGTGTCAAGTACGAAAAGTCACAGAGAGAGAAAAAAAGAAAGAATATAATTTCATATAATTGAAACTTGTGTGGTCCAAACGACTGCCAGCATGCTTCTTCCCTGGGACCCGCTTGGGAGGGTTGATAGCTAAGCCTACATTGGCATACCTGCCATGTCAACAGTGAAGAAGAGAAGGTGGCACCATGGGCTGTGTCCTTGGGAGCCCCCCAACGCCTCACGGCCGGTCCCACTTGGGGGAAAGCTAGGACCTCCGGGCCTCGCCCACCCCCTGCCCCAGGCCAGCCCCGTCTCCCAGCAACGCTGCCAGGGAACCCACTGATGTCAGGCCTCTGGGTGGTGAGGATGACTCGAACAATGTGGAACAGATGCCTGGATCCCTCCCTCGGGATGGGCGTGCCAGGGGGGTGTCTTTGGCTGGCCGGGGCCCTGTTGCAGCTGGTGGCCACACACAGGGACGGTCCAGAGAGTAAGCCGGGCTAGTGGGGAGGAAAGGGGTCAGCTTGATGTTCTCGCTGGCAGGTGTGGCTGTGGGTACCTTAGCAGCCCCTCTCCCATCTGACTGCAGGCTGCCCTCACCCATGCCTCGTGCTGCTTATCAGGGAGTCGTGGATTATGGTTAGTTGTTGGGGTGGGTGGTTTGGGGAGAACCCAGGTATCTGAGGCTGGAACCGTTAGCCCTTGCGAAGCAGTTTTTGGGCTAACTGGCTCAAGCCAAATTCTCCGGTAAACAAGAGGCCGTTAATCACATCAATTATTTAGCATTTTCTTCCAGGATTTGCTTCGGTGCTATAGGCGGTCCTCGACTTACAGTCGTTCATTTAACGACTGTTCAAAATCACAAAGCGCTTAAAAAAGGGTCATGACCGTTTTTCACACTTACGACCGTTGCAGCGTCCCCGTGGTCACCTGGATCAAAATTCGGATGCTTGACCACTGACTTGCATTTAAGACAGTCGCGGTGTCCCGACCCCTTTTTGTGACATTCTGATCAGGGGAAGCCAGATCCACTTAACGACCGTGTGACTAACTTAACAACGGCGGTGATTTGCTTCACGATTGTGGCAAGACCCACTTGACAATTGTCTCGTTTAGCAACAGAAATGTTGGGCTCTGTTGTGGTTGTAAGTAGAGGACCACCCGTGTTTCCACCCAAAACCGCAACTGACGCCTGGCCTTGTTATTTCCCCCCAGCCTGTGGGGGGAGACCCTTGGCCCCTGACCCGGGCAGAAGCATGCAGATCGTGGGAGGCATCAACGCCTTGCCTGGCAGCTGGCCGTGGCTGGTCAGCATCCAGGCGCCGTCTTCCAAGAGACCTCAACACCTGTGTGCAGGGTCCCTCTTGACCCCCCACTGGGTGCTCACGGCTGCTCATTGCTTCACATCAGGAAAGAGGTAAGAAACCCACATCTGGCAGCCCCAGAATCCCTTGCAAGACCAGAGGTGGGTGGGTGACTCAATTTGGAGTTTGCCCCTTGGAGGCAGCTGACGGGGAACATCTGGAATTGTGCCCGTGCAATTGTGCACCTACTACTCGCACGGAGCAATTGCCCCTCTCCCCTACTGGGCCACCAAGCCGGCAAGTTTGGGGACCGTTGGTTCAGATCAGGGGTCTTCAAACGTGGCCCTTTGATGACTTGTGGACTTCAATTCCCAGAATTCCTCAGCCAGGCACATGTGCCTGGCTGAGGAATTCTGGGAGTTGAAGTCCACAAGTCATCAAAGGGCCATGTTTGAAGACCCCTGGATTAGATCAACTGGAAGCGTGATGCTCACCTGGAGAGCTGACTTTGAAACATCCGTTGGCCCCCTGTTCACAGTTCGTCGCAACCCCAGAGGATCCTCATTGGCGCCACGGACATTTCCAATTTGCTGGACACGGTGCAGTTGCGTTCCGTGTCCCGCATCGTCCCCTACCAGGATTACAATCCACAGAGCAAGGTCAACAATATTGCGCTGGTAGAACTCAGCAGTCCGGTGACTTTTGACGACTATGTTCAACCCGCTTGCTTGCCGCACAGCCCCATGGACTCCGAAGCCTTGTTCTCAGAGTGCTACGTCAGTGGCTGGCGCACCACCACCCAGAAGGGTAAGCGAAGAGGTATGTAAGTGAGCCAATCTAGAACTAAGGAGAAGTTTCCTGACAGTGAGAACAATTAACCAGTGGAACAGCTTCCCTCCAGAATTTGTGGCTGCTCCATCACTGGAGGCTTTCAAGAAGAGACTGGACTGTCACTTGTCTGAAATGGTATAGGGTCTCCTGCTTGAGCAGAGGGTTGGACTAGATGATCTTCGAGGCCCCTTCCCCAACTCTGTCATTCAGTTAGTCTGCTAATTCTGGGAATTAGTCCACAAGTCACAAGTCACTTCCTTTATGTTATCTTTTCCTGATTCCCACCAATTGTACTTGTTTTTCTATTCAATTAGTTTCCATTGTATTGTAGGTTTAACTGACTCTGAAGATTCATCATATTGATACATATTTATCAATCCCCCCCTGTATTTCTGTATACTCTGATGAATCTTCATTTTTGGCTATTAGATAACATAAATTGAATCTGTACATCTTCCCCAGAGATGATTTTTGCTACTGACCTCAGTGTTTTGGTGCAAAATGAAATACAGCAGGGTAAACGTTGGAGACAAACACAACACATGATACCTATCACAACTATAAACACTAGTCCTATAAATATTTGTTTTAACCATCCAAAATTGGGAAGCCAATTTGTTAACCAGCTCCAACCTTTAGAAAATGCTGTTTGTGCTAGGGGTGATGGTTTATCCTTTGAGCAGTCCGGCCTTCTCTGCTAGTTCAGGCTCCTGCCTTAACATTATGGCCCTTTCAGGAAGTGGGTGGTCAAGGCTGGGGTTGTGACATTATTGTGGATTTACTGCACAGTGGTGGGATTCAGCCAGTTTGCACCTCTTCGGCAGAACCGGGAGCTAATTTTTGGTTGCCCAGGCCCAGAACAGACTTCCAGAAGAGGCATCCACACAGAGAACCGGTTGTTCACCTGTTTGAATCCCACCACTGGATTTGCAGCTCATTTGGCTTTCTCTCCGCTACCGTGGATTCAGGCTGGAAAACGGGGGAGATGGAGGGTGAAAGGAGGTAGACGTTTCTTACAGAAGTAAGAATTATGAAGAACAATCCTCAGGGGGAAAAAAAGCCACAATATCCCGCTAATCTGTAATTTTTGCTCCAGGCAGGAAGACCTCTGCTATCTTGCAGGAAGCCAGAGTGAAGATTCTGGAGACCAGCAAATGCAACAGCAGCTGGTGGTACAATGGGGCCATGAGCCCTCACACCTTGTGCGCTCGATATGAAGATGGAGGCATTGACACCTGCCAAGTAAGAAACGACTTTTTCATCCTGTGATAGTTCCTGGATCTCTTAGCATCTCCTGGTTTTTCCCTTCTGCTGGCTCATAGTGTGCAGGTATTTTGTGGACACCACCACAGTAAGCAGAAGATACTGCACACAATGCGTTGTAGTTTTCCTTCACCCAAGGGGACTCTCTCTCTCTCTCTCTCTCTCTCTCTCTCTCTCTCTCTCTCTTTCTTTCTTTCTTTCTTTCTTTCTTTCTTTCTTTCTTTCCACAGGGGGACAGTGGGGGGCCCTTAATGTGCAAGACCTCCCCCACCTCTCCCTTCTACGTGGTTGGGATCACCAGCTGGGGCAAGGGCTGCGGCGTGGGAACCAACCCAGAAATCTACACTTCCACGCAGCCCTTCCTTGAATGGATCTATGGGGAAGTGGCGAAGATGGAAGGGGTGCCTCTCCAAGAGAAGAGACCCTCGAACAGAGCTTGGGCTAAACACGCGACAATGTTCCCAGCTTTCAAGATTGCCTTGACACAGTTCCCCGAGAAATATTTGACGGAGGACCTGATCTACTTTCCTACGACTGAGCTTCCAGAAGCAGACCAGGTCCCTTTGCCCAAAGAATCCCCTCCAGCACCCCCTGACACCACTTATGAGATAGGCAGAGTGCTTCTGCCCATAGATGTCTCTTCATCATCCCCTCTGAATCCAGAAATGGTGGCCGTGCATCTTACTAGATATTCACCTAGCAGAACGTGACCCTCTCCAAATCTTTTCAGAAGGCTAAATGATGACACTGTCCATCTCCAGTTGTTGAAAGCCAGGGCATGTCTTTCCCCAGAGACAGAACGGGGCATCCTTGTGCCCTCCGTATTCATCCATCCTACAACTTCATCCTCATCCCTTGAACTTCTAGATCTCTCTCTAGAGGTAATGCTCGCCTTAGAACCCGCACGTGGTTCCCTCCACATCAGGCCCACAGCTCTAAGCCCTCTCAATACCCCTGGAGATAAATCTTGCTATAGGCCTCCCGGAGTAAAAGCAAATTTGGATTGTGTCTATCAGAAGAAGCTCGATCAGATACCAAAGTCCACCAGTTTGCTGATGCTGTATACAGAAACCCCTTGCACCTTTTATGACTTGTGGACTTCAATTCCCAGAATTCCTGAGCCAGCTATGCTGGCTCAGGAATTCTGGGAGTTGAAGTCCACAAGTCATAAAAGGGCCAAAGTTCCCCACCCCTGATATAGAAGATGACATTGCAACTCCATAGATCTGCCAGAGCTATTTTATTGGAGGATCCATAAATATCCAAAGAAGCCCTTTTCACCCTCGACCAAATTCCCCATAAATAGTTGCCTAGTCGCCTCTTTGTGGATTGCGTGTCTACTACTGCAGAGGGACCAAGCATTCTCCAAAGTCCCCATAGGTTCCCCTAGGCGCAGCTGAAATTTGAAAGTTCTAGATCAGGGGACTTCAAATGTGGCCCCTTGATGATGTGTGGACTTCAATTCCCAGAATTCCTGTGTCTGGCTGAGGAATTTTGGGAGTTGAAGTCCACAAGTCATCAACAGGCCACGTTTGAAGACCCCTGTTCTAGATAAACTGATGTTCTTCATCCATCTTCTGAAAGTAACGTTGCATCTGGGAACCTGCAATACTCTGCAAAATGAATGCTTGTGTCTAGCTTCCCATAGATGCATGGCTGGATCCTAGACTTTCTCTCCAAGGTCCATGGTTATCTTCTGTGCCCTTTGGCCAAAGCAATATCTTGACTCTCAACTGGCCAGTTGCATCTGAGGACACACATAGGAACAGATGCCAGCCCTTTCCCCAACACAATTATTTGTCCCCATCCTTCGTGTGTGTTCCCAAAGGTGCAGTGATGGTTGGAAAGCACAATCTATGACAGATGTTCAACTTGAGATGGTCAGGAACAGATCTTTTAATGGGCATCTTTGGACAAAGGTGACCCCTTCAGCCCTGGACATCACTATAACACATGGACATCTGACCGAATGGTCAGTAAGCCAAGCAAATAAACTCTCTGTCTTGGTTTGTTTGTTTCACTGAGGACTTTGGGATGGTTAAGATGATTAAAAAGGTCGTGAGAAGTGCTGAGAATCCTTTTTTTTTCCTGGTAAATCTGAGGACCACTGACTATTTGTGTGGCCCAGTTATGAATAGGCCATGGCCCGGTATTGGCCCATGGGCCAGAGGTTGTGGACCCCTGTGCTAGAGGACGGTGAGAATAGCATCTGCTTGCCAAATAGCCCTCTAGGGAATCTAAGCCTGGATCCACATTTTTTTAAATTTTATTTATTATTAAATTTATTGGCCGCTCACCTTACCACAGAATTTACTGTGGGCTGCTTACACCATTAAAAAGATAAAACTATACCACACCTACAAACAATAAAAATACAATACTATAACAATATAAATGCTCAACTGCATATTGACCAGGCGCCTCTACTAAGGTCAGTTGGTGCTGCTGGGCCCTAGAAGTGGGAGAGGAACAGGACAATGGCTTCTAGGCTCACAAGGGGTCCTTCAGGAGCCCATGATGCTTTTCCAGAGGTGGACACCCTGCCTTGGCTTACCAATCCCTCTCTAGCTGCCTCTGATACCTTTCCTCAGATCGGAATCTTATTATTATGATACTAATAACTTCAGCAGCTCTTTCAGATTGTTCCCAGAAGAATGCTGTCTCTCCAGGAAGCAGAATTAACAGAATAACTGAGTTGGAAGGGACCTTGGAGGTCTTCTAGTCCAACCCCTACCCAAGCAGGAGACCCTACACCAGGGGTCTTCAAACTTGGCCACTTTAAGATTTGTGGACTTCAGCTCCCAGGGCTGGCTGAGGAATTCTGGGAGCTGAAGTCCACAAATCTTAAATGGCCAAGTTTGAAGACCCCTGCCCTACCCCATTCTGGACAAATGTCTGTCCAGTCTCTTCTTCAAAAGCTTCCAGTGATGGAGCACCCACAAACTTCTGGAGGCAGGCTGTTCCACTGGCTAATTGTTCTCACTGTCAGAAAATTTCTCCTTAGTTCCAGGTTGCTTCAAAGCTGAAGCATGAGGTGCCTCTGCCAACAGAGGCTCTTCCGCTGACCCTGGTTCAGAAGTGGCCCTGGCTGGCCTGCCAACAGATGCCAACCCAGGCACCCTCTGTCAGGAAGCTGAGCCTGGCATCGCATCAGCCGGTGCCTCTGGAAGAAACAGACGGATTCAGTGTGGGAGAAAGAATAAATCCACCCCTTCCAGAGACCTTGGATTACGACTCACACCTGGCTGTCCTGGCAGGGGATGATGGGAATTGCAATAGGGCAGGAGCAGACAGCCCCAGACCTCTGTGTCAATTCTGCAGCCCCCTTGAGGGAGATGCTGATGGAAGCCGTCAAAGGGATGCATCAGAAGGGCAGGAAATTGATTTTTATAGATACAAACATCTGATACAAAAGAATATTTGTAATTCAGGGTTGAACTGTGGGGTCCTTGCTGCTCCCTGAGCTGGTTCTTTCCTTGCAGACCTTTCATGAGCCAGTTAGGGAACATCATCGGTGCTTAGAAGATTTGAGCATGCGCCCTGATGGTGTTATCTAGTTTGGCCATGAAATGTTTGCAAGAAATTAACCAAATCAGAATGTACCAAGGATGCATAGTTCTCCTCCTCCTCCTCCTCCTCCTCCTCCTCCTCCTCCTCCTCCTCCTCCTCCTCCTCCTCCTCCTCCTCCTCCTCCTCCTCCTCCCTTCTAGGTTGTCTAGTTGGGTCACGAAACCTACAAAAACCCCCAAAAAAACAGCCAAGCTCAGAGAGCACCAAGGACCCTACAGTCCTCCTCCTCTTCTTCCTCTTCCTCCTCCTCTTCCTCCTCCTCTTCTTCCTCTTCCTCCTCCTCCTCCTCCTCCTCCTCCTCCTCCCTTCTAGGTTGTCTAGTTGGGTCACGAAACCTGCAAAAAACCCCAAAAAAGCAGCCAAGCTCGGAGAGCACCAAGGACCCTACAGTCCTCCTCCTCTTCTTCCTCTTCCTCCTCCTCTTCTTCTTCCTCTTCCTCCTCCTCCTCCTCCTCCTCCTCCTCCTCCTCCTCCTCCTCCTCCTCCTCCTCCTCCTCCTAGGTTGTCTAATTGGGTCACGAAACCTGCAAAAAAAAAAACCCAGCCAAGCTCGGAGAGCACCAAGTGCAAACAATTGACTGCTTCCCAGGCCTTTCTCTTCCGCCTTGCCTGGGCGGGTGGAGAAGCCCAGCTGAGGTTCTCCCAGGCCCTTGGCTGTAGCTCTGGCCTCCCAGAGCCCTCCTGCCCAGCCTGGAAGGCCTCCATTCAGCCGGCTGGACTCCCACATTCCACCGAGAATGCTGACCACTGCAATTTCTCTGCCTGATGTCACACAGCACGCATTCTATGATGTCAAGCGCGAGAGAGCTGGAGGATGAGGAGGCTGCTCCTCTGCCTTCTGGCCCTCATCACAATCTGGACGGTGCACGGCCAGGAGGACAACTGCAAGTAGGTGGGGGAAAGCTGAGCAGGGCGGGGTTTGTGGCTGTCCCCGTCCGGCCCCCTCTCTGTGCAGAGGAAGAGGGCTGGCCGGCAACTCCACAGGTCACAAGGCAGAAGCTCTGCCAGCTTGGGCACCCATGGCAGGCAGGTTCCTCAGCGACCATCAGTCAGTCAAGAAAACGCCCAATCAGGGCACAAAATTTGTGGTGGGGGGCGGGGCTATGAGGGGCAAGCTCCCCAGCATGGGCTGTGGAATAAGACCAAGACGCAGGAGTAGGCAATCTTGGCTCTTTTATGAATGGTGGACTTCAACTCCCAGAATTCCTGAGCCAGCCATGCTGAGGGGAAGGGAGAGGTTTCCAAGCTGAGCCATGTTGGATCAGGAATTCTGGGAGTTGAAGTCCACAAGTCATGAGGGGGCCATAGTTCCCCCATGCTGGCTCAGGAATTCTGGGAGTTGAAATCCGCAAGTCATGAGGGGGCCATAGTCCCCCCATGCTGGCTCAGGAATTCTGGGAGCTGAAGTCCACGAGTCATAAAGCAGCCTAGGCCTAGGCCAGAGGTAGGCAACCTTGGCTCTTTTATGACTGGTGGACTTCAACTCCCAGAATTTCTGGAGCCAGCGTAGCTCAGCTTGGAAACCTCTCCCTTTCCCCTCAGCGTGGCTGGCTCAGGAATTCTGGGAGTTGAAGTCCACCAGTCATAAAAGAGCCAAGGTTGCCTACCCCTGGTCTAGGAGGCTCACCACTTAAAACAGGAGGACTTAGGACAGGGATAGGCAACCTTGGCTCTTTTATGACTCGTGGACTTCAATTCCCAGAATTCCTGAGCCAGCCATGCTGAGGGGAAAGGGAGAGGTTTCTAAGCTGAGCCATGGCGGCTCAGGAATTCTGGGAGTTGAAGTCCACCAGTCATAAAAGAGCCCAGGTTGCCTATCCCGGCTCTAGGGTCTCCTGCTTGAGCATGGGGGGTTGGACTAGAAGACCTCCAAGGTCCCTTCCAACTCTGTTATTACAACGACATTGAGAAAGAGGGCTAGCTCCTTGATTTGAAGGGAGCAGCAACGTGTCTTGCTACAAGAAAAGGCACAGAACACACAGAACACACATACACCAATACAACACAGACACAGCGTTTAGGAAGAAGTTAAATCCCCCAACCAACCGGTGCATTGCACTCTTCTGCCACCTAGAGGTAGCTTTTCAGAAGTGCGCCATCTGCAGGGCAATCATCACTTCTTCATCTCCACTTCTGTCACCCCCTTCGCTCTCCAAACTACACAGTTGTTGCCAACGATGAGGGTTCTTCACACCATGACATCATTCAAAAAGCCACTGAGACTTTTTCACTCTGCGGAACACTAATTTTCACAGTGCTGCCGAATGTCTGTGTGTATTTGTCCACGTAGCAGGGCTGCGGAACTATTAATTACCCTTCCTATTATCTTCCTGCCCCCTCTTATTGGTATTGCGACGATGATGATGATGATCATTATTCTGTCGCTTTGCATGTACATTTGGAGCTTCTGCACCAGAGACAAAGTTCTGGCAAAATAATGGCCAAAATTGTGGTTATATGACCGTTGTTAGTTGCAAAGTCGTGTCCGACTCATCGTGACCCCATGGACAACGTTCCTCCAGGTCTTCCTGTCCTCTACCATCTTCTGGAGTCCCTTTAAGCTCCTGCCTCCTGCTTCAGGGACTCCATCCAGCCACCTCATCCTCTGTCATCCCGTTCTTCTCTTGCCCTCCATCTTTCCCAGCATCAGACTCTTCTCCAGTGAGTCCTTCCTTCTCATTAGGTGGCCAAAGTATTTGAGTTTCAACTTCAGAATCTGGCCTTCTAAAGAGCAGTCGGGGTTGATCTCTTCTAGGATTGACCGGTTGGATCGCCTTGCAGTCCAGGGGACTCGCAGGAGTCTTCTCCAGCACCATAGTTCAAAGGCCTCCATTCTTTGGTGCTCAGCCTTTCTTATGGTCCAGCACAAATAACTATAAATGCAGATGGTTGCCAAATACCCCAAATGCAGTCACCAACTGTTCATGGGAGTCCCAGAGGTGCTTTTTCAAAAGGCAATTGGACTTTGTTTTTCCCTGAAGACGTTTCGCTTCTCATCCAGGAAGCTTCTTCAGTTCTGAACGGCGGAGGATGGAAAGATTTTGATCCCTTGCAGTCATCTGGTCATTGGTACTCCCTCCGAGAGTCATTGAAGTCACTCGGAGCCTTTTCTGTGCCCTCAGGGTCACCTGAGTCGTGCAAATGGGTGTGGAGCCTTCTTGGAGCTGCTGAAAGGGCTGTGCTGGAGACAGGAGACGGGTGGTGTCGTGTCTCTCCCTCTCTGTTGAGAGGGCTGTTCAGTCTTAACTTAGATGGCCTTTGTGACCCCTCTTTCAAACCAGGGTTGTCCTAAGGGCGCCTTTGTGACATCTGTTCATGGGAGGGGAACGGCCATTGGAACTTATGAAACTGGGTGGTAAGTAGCTCTGGAGAGGTCCAAGCGGTCACTAAGCACCTGTTCGTAAATTGAGGATTATCTGTAGAGGCTGCCAGAAGACTCCAAGTTTTCCTTGCTCTTGCCGTTTCTAGAGGGCTCTGCGGCCGGCGCCCCTTGGCACCTGGCCACTCCCTCCCCATTGTGGGAGGCATCGACACTCTGCCAGGGACCTGGCCCTGGATGGTCAGCATCCGGACCCCGTTCAAGTCCGGCTACCAACACACCTGCGGAGGGTCGCTCATTGGCGCCAGGTGGATCCTCACGGCAGCCCACTGCTTCAAGGACACCAGGTGAGTGAAAGCAGGTGAGGGTGGGGGGCAGGTGCGCAGCTCAGGTGGCATGTGGGAAGAGCTACCTGTTATCTATCTATCTATCTATCTATCTATCTATCTGTCTGTCTGTCTGTCTGTCTGTCTGTCTGTCTGTCTGTCTGTCTATCTTTCTATCTCTTTCTATCTGTCTATCTATCTATCTATCTATCTGTCTGTCTGTCTGTCTGTCTGTCTGTCTTTCTATCTCTTTCTATCTGTCTATCTATCTATCTATCTATCTATCTATCTATCTATCTATCTATCTATCTAATTTGCTGATGCTTTATCTAAATGTATTTGCATATCAATGACTGCCTGACTTCTGCAGGTGTCGTTGGCTAAATAAATAAATGTGAAGCTTTAATTAATTACTTCATTTCAGCTGCCATCTTGACCACACCCCGTAGATACTCCTGATTATGCAATAAGATGCATTTCAGATTGATTTCTGTTCCAGTTTGGGGCTTAGAAAGGCCTTGGGGACTGGTCAAGGGGAGGGAGCAGACCCTTGTGGGTTCTACTGCCTCTCTATGGCTTTGGTGTCTTTGAGCACAGGGTCTGTCCGGTCCAAGTGACCAGATCCACATGGGAAAGTTTCAAATTGTCTACTTTATTCTCTTCTGCCTGTAGTACAAGAAACTCCCCAGACTGCTCTCTTTCTCTTGGAAACAAACAGATAAGGCTCTGTGGAAACTAAATCCTAGTCTCTTGCAGCTGCGCAGTGACTCAAGGCTAGATCCCCACTTGATACCTCTTCCTTGCTGGCTGGGAATTCACCAACAGCATCTTTCCTCATAGCCACATAACAACAGAATAACAGAGTTGGACGGGACCTTCAAGGTCTTCTAGTCCAACCCCCTGCTCAAGCAGGAGACCTTATGCCATTCTGGAAAGATGGCTGTCCAGTCTCTTCTTGAAGACCTCCAGTGTTGGAGCATCCACAACCTCTGAGTCAAGGTGTTCCACTGATTAATTGTTCTCTTGGGAAATTTCTCCTTAGTTCTAGGTTGGTTTTCTCCTTGATTTCTCCTTGATCTCCAGCCACAGGTTGGGGGCACATTATTTTGAGGCTACTCAAAGATGCCCACTCTTCCTCTACTCTGAGGGTTCTCTTGGGACAGCTTCCTGTTTTCTCTGATTTACGGTGATGTAGACAATACAGTAGTGGAGGGACAGGAATCCACAAAGCTTTCATGCTCTTCTCTGTCCCAGGCATCTGACCAATTGGGAACTGGTGCTTGGCACAAGCAAACTGTCTCACCCAGGTCCCGATGCAGAGGTCCGCTTCCCCAAGAGGGTGGTGCAGCATGAGAACTACCAACCTCGCCAGCAGATCAATGACATTGCCCTGGTGGAGTTGGATGACCCCGTCAAGTGCAGCGACTATATCCAGCCCGCCTGCTTGCCGGACAGCTCGGTGGACGTCTCCAGTATGGTCCATTGCTACATTGCCGGGTGGGGCTATACACGGGAGAAAGGTAAGTGTCTATCGGGCACAAACAACCAGACCTACATGTGTAGAGTTCAAACTGGCTACTTCATCGTTCTCTGCCTAGATTACAGGAATCTTCCCAGCTGTCACTCAGGAAAGACCAGATACGGCTGCAAACCATTCAAGGGAGGGTCAGAACTTGCTCCTTTGTTTTACGTAGCAGGTCCAGGCTAATTCCTCTCTTGAAGCCTCCGCTCACAGGGATGGGGGAGGAGGATAGAAGGCACTCTTGCAAATAATCAGTTGCCCCACAAAAATCAAAATTTGCAGTAGGAGGTTCAATGCAGGACTTGGAAGGACCTCTCCACGGAGAAGATAACCCAAGTCCCAGGCACCAGATCAAAGCCATATCCCTTTCTTACAACATAGCTTATGTGACATCAAGGGGCAGGGCTTCAATTGTGTAGTTGCAAACACCACCTTGCCCTTTCTGACTCCCCTACTCCCTGGAAGTCATGAACCTCAGGCCTCTTCTGAGGGCGTGAAGAGGGGGGCCAACTTATTTACCAAAGCAACAGAGGGATGGATAAGAAACAATGGATGGAAACTCATTGAGGAGAGAAGCAACCTGGAACTAAGGAGAAATTTCCTGACAGTGAGGACAATTAACCAGTGGAACCACTTGCCTCCAGAGGTTGTGAATGCTCCAACACTGGGAGTTTTTAAGAAGGGAGAGAGTGCTGATGATATTCCATGTTGGGTAATGAAATGTCTACAAGAAACCCACCAAGGACCCCACAGTCCTCCTCCCTCCCTCCCTTCTAGCAGTGATGATGTTCCCTAATTGGGTCATCTGCAAGAAAACCACCCAGCTCAGAGAGCACCAGAGACCCCACAGTCCCCCTCCTCCTCCTCTTCCTCTTCCTCCTGCTGCTCCTGCTCCTGCTCCTGTTCTCTGCAACCCCCACTCCCTTCTAACACTGATGACGTTTCCTAGTTGGGTCATGAAATGTCTTCAAGAAAACCACCCAGCTCAGAGAGCACCAGGCACCCCACAGTTCAGCCCTGCGCTACAAACACTGTATTCTTTTCTGTCAGCAAAGAAATGTGCACGGAAAAATTCAGCAACTCTCTTTTCATTTGCAGACAAGGCTCCATCAGATGTCTTGAAGGAGGCCAAGGTGGGCCTGGTACCCACAGAGAAATGCAACAGCAGCAACTGGTACTACGGAAGCATCTCCATCAGTAACCTGTGTGCCGGATTTGAAGGAGGAGGCATCGACACTTGCCAGGTGTGTGAGCAGGTTACACCCACACCCATGCTGGGCTGTTGTTCTGATTGATTGATTCTGAGCATTCATCTCAGACGTAGGTAATTTTGTTTTAATCCTTAGGAAAATGTTATAAAAAAAAATCCACATGTTTTATGAGTTAGTTGTTTTGTCTTGCCATCCAGTGTTATAACTGTTTGGGGTCTCTTACAAATAGTGCAAATAAATGTAGGGTTTTTTAATAAATAAATAAATAAATAAATAAAAATAACCTTACTGTTCAACTGTGGGCTACAAATATTCTCTTCCATCAGTATACAATATGGTTGTCAGGAGATTAATCCTGATTTATAGTCTACACCAGTGGTCTTTAAACTTGGCCCTCTGATGACTTGTGGACTTCAACTTGTGAACTTCAACTTGTGGACTTCAATTCCTCAACCTGGCTGAGGAATTCTGGAAGTTGAAGTGCACAGGTCATAAAAGGGCCAAATTTGAAGACCCCTGGTCTACACAAAGCCATATTGGTTGATTGGCCATGTACACAAGGCCAATCAACCAATGGAACCGCTTGCCTTCAGAAGTTGTGAGTGCTCCATCAATGGAGGCTTTCCAGAAAAGACTGGACAACCATTTATCTGAAATGCTATAGGGTCTCCTACTTGAGCAGGGGGTTGGGCTAGAAGACCTCCAAGGCCCCACCCAACTCTATTATTCTATGCTGTATGCTCTGTTGCATGTCCTGTCCATCAGCCAACACATCAGCAAGTTCATATCTTTGCTCCTCACTTCTCTTCTTGGTGGGTCCCTTCACGGGTCCTTCTTCCTTCCTACTCTAGGGTGACAGCGGAGGGCCTCTGATGTGTCGGGAAAACCGGACTGAACGCTACTGGATCGTGGGAGTGACCGCCTGGGGATTGGGCTGTGCCAGGGCCCAGAAGCCTGGGGTCTACACTTCTACCCAGAACTTCTACGACTGGATCCTAGGCTACACAAATGAAAAGACCACTCACGAGGTCACCCCTGGGCCACAGCTGCTCCCAGGGACAACATCACCGACCACGTCTAGTCCATCGGAACCTAAAGCAACAATGTCCACAGAAGAAACAAGCCCACCTCCACCCCAAGAAACGTCGAGGAAGCAAGAAATATCTTTGCAAACCCAGCCAACTTCCAAAACAGAGACGACATCCACGCAAAACCCAGAGCCACCATCCCTTCAACCACAATCCATCAAAACACTGAGAAATCCATGGCCTTACTTACAGACTGAGAATACAACCCGCTCTTTGATGACCACTTCAACCACCACCACCACGGAAGCCACCACAGAAGCCACCACGGAAGCCACCACAGAAGCCACCACTGAAGCCACCACCGAAGCCACCACCGAAGCCACCTCAGAAGCCACCACTGAAGCCACCACCGAAGCCACCACTGAAACCAGTACAACCACCACCACCCTCACCACGACCCAAGCTCCTCAGCCGCAAGTCCCACGTCCCAAGCGCAAGCGACCTTCCAAGACTATCACGCTGGGCTCCTACTATGGCTACAGTGGGAGTTCAAACTGGCCCAAGAATTGGCCTTTCAAGCGCCCACACTCTCAAACCTGATCCCAGACTCAACTGTTGCTGGTCAGTGACCCCCTTTGTTTGCTTAAGGAGTCCTCCCTTGTGCAGATAAAGTATTCTGTGCAATGGAGCTTCTCAAGCAACCCAATGAATATAACAGGTGATTAAAATACATATATCTGGAATAAATTTTTGTAAAAATAGACTAGACTCGCGTTGATTTTGCTTGTGCTGGTTGCAGCTGCTTTACCTCTTTCTGGTCCTAAACAGTTGGACAAAGATCACCGACAAGAAGTTTGGTGCTTGTGTCAAAATATATACAATGACAATGTCAAAGGAAGGCGTTGTCATAGGTGTATCCTGCAGGCCACCCAACCAAGCAGAAGAAATAGATGAACGTTTTGCTAACCAGTTAACAGATGTATGTAGGAAACATACCACAGTAGTAATGGGGGACTTTAATTATTCTGATATCAGCTGGGAGACAAACTCTGCAGCGAGCGGGAGAGGAAACAGGTTCCGTAGAAGACTAGCTGACAGTTTTGAAATCCAAAAGATGGAAGAGGGAATTAGAGGAAAAGCTATACTGGACCTAATTCTTACTAATAGAGATGAAATGATAAGGGGGGTTAATGCTGCAGGAAACTTGGGGGGGGAGTGACTACATCATACTGGAATTCAATATAATGCAAACACAGGCAATAGAAAATAATTCAACCAATGTCTTAAACTTCAAAAGAGCTGATTTTAACAAACTCAGAGAGAGTCTAAGAAAAATTCCATGAATGAAAATCTTAAAGAGGAAAACAATTCAAGAAACCTGAGAAATTCCGATTATAAAAGCCCATTCCACCACAATACCAGTGAAAAAGAAAAATAAGAAAACGAAGAAGAAATCAGCACGGTCTCTTACCCCAAAGTGAATTGCTGTTGGCCTGGAGGAAAGGTGGGCCATTTGAGCTAGCTGACAATTGGCCTGTACAAAATGGAAAACTCTCTGGACCCTAAGTTATGTTGAGAATCATATATATACATTTTCCTCCTGGAGCTATAACAGCCAGTTTCACTAGGGGTCAAGGTGATTGGACCAGCGGGAAATTTACATTCAAGATTTCAGGCAGAAGCCACTGGCTGACTTGGCCAGTCCCTCTTTCCCAACCCAACCCACCTCATAGCCCCTCAAATAGTGGAATACTGCTATCATGTCACCCCTGTTTCTTTTCTTTAGACTAGCCAAACCCAAGTCCCGCAGCCGTTCTTTGTATGTTTTGGTCTCCAGGCCTTTGATCATCTTAATTGCTCTTCTCTGAATTTTTTTTTCCAAACTCTCAAATCAAATCAAATTAAATCAACCTTTATTGTTAAGTACAACATGTGTACAGTGAGATTGGGTAAGCCTCCCTTCGTGCATCTGTTTTGTGATATGGTGACCAAAATTGGCTGCAATATTCCAGGTGTGGCCTCACTAGGGTTTTATAAAGCGGTACTAATACTTCACGTGATCTTGATTCTATGCCTCTGTTTATGCAACCCAGGACTGTAATAGCTTTTTTGGTTGCTGCGGTATGTGACTGGCTCATGTTTAAGGGATCATCCACTAGGACTCCAAGGTCCTCTCACAGTTACTTTTTTGAACCAGGTTTTGCTTAATCTGTATTTGTATCTTTGTTTTTTCCTGCCAGGTGTCAAAGCTTGCTTTTCTCCACATTGAATTTTATTTTGTTGGACAGGGCCTCTTGTTCAAGTCTGTGAAGACCTTTTTGAATCCTGAATTTGTCTTCTGGGGTGTTGGCTACTCCTGCCAGCTTAGTGTCGTCTGCAAATTTGATGAGTTCCCCTTCAATTATATCATCTAAGTCATTAATGAAGATATTGAAGGGTACTGGACCTAAGAGGATCCTTGTCCACCCATTGGTACTTCTTATGAGGGGTGCTACCAAGGGCAGCAGGGCCCAACCCACTGAATGTTCTCTTGTTGATTCATAAGGTGAGTTTGGAATTTTACTGGAAATATCACTCTGACCACCAACTTTATAGCAGGAAAATCAAATGAGTTTGCCTACTGCCTGTCAACCTTAGTCGCTAAGCAACCAGGCTCCAGGCCAGCCCCTTGGAGAACTCTCACTGGGGGGGGGTGTCCTCTGGAAAGGAAGCAGGGAACTGGTGTGATGTCATATTGGCTGAGTGCTGATTGGAGGAAGGCAAGCGGTCTGTGGTTTGTGACGTCATGAGGAACGTCGTAAGCCCAAGATGGAACTGAGCACTTCTTGAGACATGTAGGATGAAGTGGCTACTTCTTCATACGTTGGTCCTTTTTCTGATACGGTCTACACATGCATACAATAATGGATGTGGGTGAGTCTTGTCAAATCCAGGGGGTGCTCAGAGGAAGCGGCTTTAACGTTCTGTGATGCCTGTTCCTCAACAGAGTTGACTTTTCTGGTCAGGCCCGGTGAACATGTCCAGATCCGTCATCTGCAGCACTTGGGGCCACAGAGGGAAAACCCTGGGAACTTCACACCTCCCTTCCATCAGACGTCCCCACTGGGCATGCAAGGCGGGTTGCGGCAGTCTCCCAGGCTTCAGTTCTATTTATTTATTTATTAATAAAATTTATATGCCTCCCAATCCCTAGGGACTCAGGGCGGCGTACAAAATTAAAACAACAAATATAACCATAAAAATGAATACATTCACACAGCATGTCCCAATCGAATCCCGCCCCCCCCCCCGGGGGACATCAACCCCAGGCCTGCCGGAACAGGAGAGCTTTCTTGAAGGCCGGCAAGGTGGGAGTAGTTCGAATCTTGGGGGGAAGTTGATTCCACCATGTCGGAGCCACCACAGAAAAGGCCCTTCCCCGAGGGCTCGCCCGCCGACATTGTCTGGCCGACGGGACCTGAAGGAGGCCCAATCTGTGGGACCTCACCGGTTTCTGGGAACTATGCGGCAGTATGCGGTCCTGTAAGTAACCTGGTCCTAAGCCATGAAGGGCTTTAAAGGTGACAACCAACACCTTGAATTGCGTCCGGAGACCCACAGGAAGCCAGTGCAGCTTGCGGAGGATAGGTGACACGTGGGTGTACCTTGGTGCACCCACAATCGCTCTCGCGGCTGCATTCTGAACCAACTGCAGCCTCCGAATGCTCTTCAAGGGTAGCCCCATGTAGAGCGCATTGCAGTAATCCAGTCTTGAGGTGACAAGGGCATGAGTAACCGTGAGTAGAGCCTCCCGGTCCAAATAAGGCCGCAACTGGTGCACTAGGCGAACCCGGGCAAAGGTCCCCCTGGCCACAGCCGATAGATGTTGTTCCAAATTTAGCTGTGAGTCTAGGAGGACACCCAAGTTGCGTGCCTGCACTGAGGGAGGTAAATTCCCCCCCCCCAATTCCCTTCTTCTATCCCCACATTCCTTGGAGTCTAAGCAGAACTTGTTGGCCATAAGTAGAAGGAGGAGCAATGGCCGTCTCTGAGTAGTTTCCCCATCAGCCATTGCTTTCAGGTGGATGAATGCCATACAGCTTCTCTTGAACCTTTGTGATGGAGAACTCTGTCCTTGCTCTTTAGGTGTGTCGGGACTGCCATCCTGCTACACCAGCCAGATGCCAGCCTGCCCTAGGCAACAGAGGGAGGGAGTTGCAGGGAGGTAGAAGGGAAGCTGGGATGAGGGGAATCGAAAATATTCTTTGTGCCATCCCGTGGGAACTGAAATTCCAAGGTCACGGAATGGAATGTGACACCAGCCAATCTGCCAGACAAGGGACTGTTACCAAAACAATTTGTCTGAATGTAATTGGACAGTGTAAAATGACCAGGGGAAGGGTGGGGAGAAGGAAAAAGTTAACCAGATGCTTTGGACACGAAACTTCGGATCCAGCTTTGTCACTTTGTAACCACTTGGCTTTAGTAATGCGTACTTTCGTTAACAATGGATCCAAGAGTCTTTCTTTTCTAACTAAGTTGGGTGGCTGACATTGTGTTTATTGGGTTTACGTGGAAGAAAGAGTCATGTCTCCTCCTTCTGTAGGCTTCAAGACAGCAACCATGCCATCTCCAGCATCCATAGCAAACTGTGATGATGATCAGCTGATGACCAGTTTATTTATTGATAGATAACTGTCTATCTTACAAATCCAATTCTGGGTTACGTAATTGCTACTGTAATGTGGGTGTCAGGTGTAAAGAATCAGGACCATACATTAAGTTGAAGTTCAGGAGGCTTAAACCTATACACAACTAAAATTCAGTACTAAATTGGCACCAGATAAGGGCCAACAAAATTCAAGAGTGGTTGGACTTAAACTGTTTGTGGGAATGTAATCACTCTAGACTGATGACTTGCTTAACTCCGCCCCCCAGCTCCACCTGCTCTTCTCCTACAGCGTGAAAATCTGGAATCAAAATGTAAATATCTCACTTAGAACCAACACTTCTCTCTTTCCTAGTGATATCTGTGGCCGCCGTCCTTTGGCCTCCAGTCACAGTAGCAACCTGCGGATTGTGGGTGGCATCGATACACTCCCAGGAACATGGCCTTGGATTGTCAGCATCCAGATACCTACCATGACTGGCTTCAGGCACACCTGTGGGGGGTCCCTCATCAGCTCTCGCTGGGTCATCACAGCAGCCCACTGCTTCCTCAATAAAAGGTGAGGGAAGGAAGGTCCTCCTAGACTGACTGGTTGAGTTGGGGTGTCTGGTTAGATTTGTAGATGGAGATGGTCAGGCACAAGGAATCAAGAACAATTCACTGAATGGCTCAGAATAATTTCTTTATTGCTGTTTGCCTACAGACAGGAATCTTGCCAGACTAAAGCAGCTATCTGAATAACCATCAGAAAAATCCTTTGAAGGTTTAGGGAAGACCCATCCTGGACCTCTCTTTGCATACCAAGGACTCAAGACTGAGCTCCTGCAACTATTCATTACACAGTTTGGCCTCCAGCCCCCTAATCCTCTTTGTTGTTCTTCTCTGCACATATTCATTTGTGTAATTCCTGCATTTCTACACTATCCTTTAAGTGTGTACATTACACACATGACATCTGAGCAAGCTTGAGCAGGGAAATTTCCATCCTTTCTTAATTGTTTGCAGACATAGGCTTGCAGTCAACATCGGCATGCCCATCTCTCGAAAGAAAACTATAGCAATCTTTTCCAACCTGAGAAATAAGAGCCAGTTTGGTCTAGTAGTGGTTAAAGCACCAGACTAGAAAGTAGAAGACGGTGAGTTCTAGTCCTGCCTGAGGATGAAAGCCAACTGGGTGACTTCTTAGAGGTCTTGTAGTCTGACTCCCTGCTCAAGCAAGAGACCCTATACCATTTCAGATAAATGGCTGTCCAGTCTTTTCTTAAAAACTTCCAGTGTTGGAACTTTCACAGCTTCTGGAGGCAGGTTGATCCACTGTTTAATTGTTCCCACTGTCAGGAAGTTTCTCCTTAGTTCCAGGTTGCTTCTCCCCTTGATTAGTTTCCATCCTTCTTAGTTCCCCTCCTCCTCCCCTCCCCTTCCCCCTCCTCCTTCTCCTCTTTCTGTCTGAGCACCTTCCCAGAAGACGAAAACACATGCAGATTGAACCACATTTTTTGATTCCTATCTCCCTGTAATAAAGTCCACGAACCATCTCCATCTCCTTGTGAGTCTTTCTTAGTTTTAGTTGAATCACACCCTTTTCCCCAGCTTCCCACATGCAGTGGTTACAGCCTCCCTTTTCCTTCTCTGCTCCAGATACCTAGAACACTGGAAGCTGGTCTTTGGTGCCGCTCAGCTTTCTCGGCCTGGCCCGGATGTCCAGGAACGCACCATCAAGAACCTGGTGGAGCACCAGCAATACAGACGCAGCACCCACTTCAACGACGTGGCCTTGATGGAGCTGAGCCACCCAGTCAACTGTAGCGATTACATCCAACCTGCCTGCCTGCCAGACATGGAGGTGGAGATTTCATCGCTGACTCGCTGCTATATCAGCGGCTGGGGAGTGACCAACGTTTCAAGTGAGTGCTCTTGCATGTCCGTAAAAAAAGGAGTCTCCAGTCACAGCACAACTTGAGAAGCTGCCTTCTTCTCAAGTGGGACCTTTTGGTCTTTCCCGCCTTGGGTGGAGATGCTGGAAATCTATTCAACATAACGGCCCTTTTAAAATCTTAGCCAGCAGGCACTCATTCTTCCCTCAAGCAGAACTGGGGTTCTTTTATCAGAAGAATAATTTGGGATTCCAGTTCAAGCCAGGTTGCCCAGGAGCAAATCAAAATGAATTCCAGACAGGCTGTGAGCGAAGGAGATTGATTTATTTGCAAAAGCAAAGAGGTTTGCGTGTGGGGTAGCTACAGAGAAAATGAGGTGCAAAAGGACTGCTTTATAGGGGAGCTCGTCCTTGGTGCAGGTCTCGAAGGGTGTGGATGTGTGTACCTGCTGATTCTAGGGTGACACTTGAGGGAATGTGTAGGTATGTGAAATCTGCGGTGTTTATTCTGGCGAACATGCAGTTACGCCGAGAGATAGTTTTAACTAACTACAGTTAGTCCTTGATGTATGACCACAATTGGGTCCAAAATTTCTGTTGTTAAGTGAGTTTTGCCCCATTTTACAAC